CGACTTCCTTGTTTATTTCGTGACATTGGCAAATCAACAAGATGCAAAAAGTGACGTAACAATGCTCCCTTTTCGCATTCGCTCAGACACCTTTCTCACTCAGACAGATTTTCAAGCGTGGTCGTAAACATTACCTCGTTTTCGCGTTTTTGAACTCTATTTGTTAGTTTTCCGTTGTGTTTCGGAAACTTAAATGTAAATCAGATAATTCAATGATCACTCTGTCTTCCTAGGAGTTTTTATTTAATTGCAGTAATAAAACTAGTGTAGAAATAGCTGTGATAGACTAGGCTAAAATTCTTTACCGGTACTTTTAAAAAAGCAGATTGTTGTATGCGATGAATCATAATGATGGTTTGAAACACCTACCCATTTCACAGGCGCCAAATCGCAAAAGCACTTTTAAAATAGCCCCTAAAATTTTGCAATGGTAAAGTATAGGAAGAATTTTTCGGGGGTCAAAGATCGGGGAAAGGTCCATAGTAAGCCATAATAATATGTTTTCAGATGCGTGGACTCGGTGGTGCATTGTCTCTGGTCTGAGTGTACAGTACCGTACTGCCGAACCTGTCTACAGTAATCTGGTGTTGCTTTAGTCATATGGGTTTACATGCGCTAGGAGGCGCGACGTCAAAATGTTACAGTAATGTTGTTTCACCGCACAGCCGTGATCTATATTCTATGGAATGAATGGTTTATGGAATTTATTAATATTGTTTACTGCTATAATGTTCAATAATTTAGAAAAATCCAAAAAATGCATGTCCAATAGAGTGATCTGAAATGATATTGTTATTCAATGTTTTTTTTGATTTTGAACGATATTGTTTCTTGCAATATTGTTTTTATTTAATAAAAATCCAATAAAAAAATAAAATAAAAAAAAACGCGCAGCCGTGATCATTGAAGATGGCTTAAAAAATAATTATTTTATTTTTTATTTGCTCATTGTGAACCATTAAAAAAATATGTTCTTGTTTTTAATTATTCCTTTTTTTTCTCATTGGTATCTCATTGGCGAGTGTATTCCTAAGGCTGTAACCCTTATTGCTGCATTGAGGCAGACATGTCAGCACAGCAGCATGTGGATGTTATGTGGTTATGGAATCGGGAATAAATGTGAAAATATAGAAATTTATTCATACCAATACTGACACGCGATTTCTTTTTTTAAGATAAGAGTAGTCTATCCAACTTGTACAGTTGTAGGCTAGACCTGTAGTGTCTGAGTGTACCGGTACAGTACCGTACAGCCGTACCGGTACCTGTGTACAGTAATCTGGTGTTGAAAGTTTTTATTTTTTAATGAACAATCATAAAATTCATATGATGGATAGGCTAGCTAAGATAGGTCTCACTGCTGCACTGAGAGATCTGGAGATGCAGAGATGGGCAAAATAAACTAGCCAAAAATTGCTGTTGGCTATCTTATTCGTTAGTTGATGTTTACTAGTTTACTACTTTCAGACTTTGTTATATATATTGGGCTCCTACTATCTAGACTCCGATATAAAAAACAATTATATTAATCAGAAGTTATACATGCTCAAATTGGGAGCTTCTGTTAATTTTATATAACAGATCAACTCAATATCCATCCTTCAGTATTATTTTATTGCTCCGGTTAAACAAATTGAGATCGTCAATAACAAGAAATTATAAAACACGACCTAAATCACAAAATATAAATTGTACCTTAAATAGCATTGTCCTTAAGATAACAGCAGAAGTATCAAGAACAGCTAACCTTTCTCCCACCACTACATTTCCTTTGTCCCGATCAGTGTATTTAAATGGAATTGGGGGTTTCTCAATTTAGTGGATAATTTGTCTTAAATAAATAATCTTTATTTATTACTTTTTCGGGAAGAAGATTTTTCTCTGACCAATCAAATTCTGGTTCGTTTCGTTTTTGATAGGAATCTAGGATGTGCACGATAATGATAATTTCTCATTTCATTGGCACTATCATTTAGGTCAAATATCTTGTAAAGTTTATGAAATGACCTATTTTAAGTTCAAAAATAGCCATTGGTCCGTGAGTATGAATCTTTTTATGCTCGTGGAAATTTACAGGTGCTAAGTCGAAAGTCAAGTTTTTAACCCTTTCCATGCGATTTTTATTTTTTATTAAATAATCGTATTTGCTACGCCGATTTTATGCATTTGTACCCCCACAACTAATCGATCGACTAACGAAAAACTAATGATCCTCTGCTGCCCACTGACGGCTCGTTGGAAAGCTTATTTAAAGAGCTTGCAATTGGCGATTAAAAAAAAAATGTTTTTTTTAAAAGTGGTGGTCTGAGTCACAAACCGGATAGAAAAAAGGCATTTTTTTTTCTTGGGAGTTGAAACTCCAAACCGTGATAAAATATAGAAATATTCGCTAAATCCTTTACTGTTACCGCTTCGTGGTTGGCAAACAATAGCATAATATTGCTGTAGCAATTTCGTGATCTAACTCAAAATACTTTGGTAGATGGAAGGGATAATATGTCTTCTATTACCACCCAAAAAACATCGAAATTTGCATAAATTTCAAAAACACTCCCTCGTACCGCCGCAAATAAATATCCCGTCGTGAACGAAAGCGAGATTTACCGGCGCTTATGTTAATCTCGAAGAAGACTTCTTATCAATAAACTAAAACCCGGAAAAACTAGACCAACAGTTTGCGACCGATTGCTCAACAAAACAGTGGAGTACATCAACGTACCCGCCGCAATCTAGCGACTTTTGTCGTTGGTACGTATACGTGCCCACCGCATGGAAAGGGTTAAGATTAATTGGGGTAATATTCGATGATTTAAAGTGACAAATTGCAAATTTGTTACAAAACATAACATTAATTAACAACATACAGTTATGTTCTCATGACAGTATGACATATGCATATCAGTATATACAAATATAGGCTTAGACCGGAGCTACCCTTGCCCAAACCACACTCAGACACTCGTGGGATGCCAGCCTTCAGGCCTCAATCATGCAGTCATATGACACCAGCCCACCATTGTGACGCTAGCCCACACTCAATTCCTATTAGGCCTGTAGGCCACAGTCGGATTACCTGTGCTTATTTTTACAGTCTTGTGAAATTCGTTAACGTTTATACCGGTCTTACCGGTCTACTTACTGAATACAGCGCGAAACCCACAAAACAGCACGAAACAGTGTGAAGCAGAAAAAAATTTTGCAATGAGTTCGGGGCACCTTGTTTTGAGTTGGAGTACCACGGCAGCAAATTAAAAACACAAACCAACCTATGTAGCCAGTAATGCTGTAATGGCAGGGGTGCCCCTGCTGGTGACACATTTTGGGTACCATAATTTAGAACATTTTCCATATGGATATGGTTGGCTTTAAGGTTAGGGTGTGTGTGATGTCTTGGATATTACCAAATTGCCAGTGGACAAAAATATTACAGTTATTATAAGTAAAACGTCAGTATAACACAGTTTTAACGCTATACATTTTACCTGAATAATAAGCATGCAGACAAGGAGTAATTACGAGAAAGTAATTATGACATGTTGATCACGAATGGGTTCGTGTGAAAAAGAATGAGCTGATACACAACAGTGTGCAGTCTACACTTCACTAGGCCGACTAGCGATATTCTGAATTAGAGTGATATCTCTATAATAAGGCTATTGTGTAACAACAATAATTTAAATTTTAAAGTAAACAGTTGCTGTGTTTTCACTGTAATGGACTATGATCGTTGCTTTTGCTTTATTGTTTGCCAAGTTTCACAAATGACTGAAAAACATAAAAGAAAAGGTCATGTAATCAATCCTTTTTTAAAGCATGGTTTAACCGAAATAAAGTGCCAAACGAAATGCGCTGTTTGTCAAAAAGTTCTATCGATAAGAAGCTTAAGCTACATTATTCCACAATCTCAAAAGCTCTGCGAAGAGAAGCAATCGGTTAAAAGTGTGATCAGTTTTTATTTGTTATTTTTTTTTTCTATTTCAATAAATATACTTTGGGGGTGCCAATGCTCATCATACGTCATAATTTTTTGTAATGGGGTCGCGTCATGAAAAGTTTGAAGACCACTGCTCTAGAAGTATGTGCATCAAGATGGCGCACAACCTGAAAATAGTATGTGTGTGTGTAGCGGATTCAGGTTGTGCGACATATTGCTGCACATATTTCTGGAGCACCAAAAAGGTAGATAAAATTTCGCATGATGACCTATAATCTGGTATATAACCTTGTAAATATACCGGAAATAGCGCCATAAAACCATGGCGAGAGGCGCCGTGGTTCTTTCGTGGCAGGAGGTGGTACTGACTGTGTCTCCAGTTTTGCGCTGTTTCCCTCTGTTTTGCGCTGGTTTCCTTCTGTATTCTGTATTCAGTAAGTAGTAAGACCCCGTTTATACAGTGAGTACAATAGATACTGTAGATGAATAATCCGTTGACCGCAGGGTGAGAGTGGGCTGGGGTAACAGTTTAGTTATAATGGTACTTTAAAGAAGTGTTTATATAATTACATATTTGTAAAAACTCACAATTTAAGTAGTCGAACAAAATTAAGCAAAGCCATTGACTTCTCTAAAACTGAGACCCATACAGCCAAATTGAAATTATACAGTAATAAGACCCCTGGAGTGTTTCCGCATCGGAAAATCTTCATATTCAGAATTAATGCATCTGAAACATAATAATTGGCTAACTACCGTAATCTAGTAACCCCATACCCAACATCGTTTGGGTGGCTGGTAATCGAATTGGTAGATTGTGATGTATACATTGTTGGAATAACAAAAAAAAATGTAAAAAATCTCATGTAGGCCTATATATTTCCAGCTTTTGAATAATACTAAGAAACGAATTTGAAAAAATATATACATTCGTGTTGTAAAATTGAGAAACAAAATATGTCCCTTTTTGTTTCCAATTTAAGTGAATACTTCTGTACTTGAGTTGAGTCTATAATTTTTTTTTCAAGAAAGTTTATACTACGTTTTCAGCAAAAATTTTCTTCCATAGATGCAAATCTCTATCATTGTTTTCTCTACATTTATTACATCTGTAGACTATAAAAGTATTTGCACTACTGCGCTATCGATATGGCTGTTAGGCCTAAAATTCGACCATCAAACGGTATTGCTGAAGAAGAGTCTGAAGAGTTATTCTGTGGTTATGTTATGCATCAGCAGAAATCATTTAGTCCAAAGATGCGCTGGGGACAATTGTGGACAAGCAAAGCAGATAATGGTTTAATGAAATGTGACATCAGACTTTTTAAATATGACATAGTGAGTCCGAAGCCTGGGACATTTACAAAGAAAGACCTCCGACTAAAATTGAGTTTTCAATTCACAGAGGAAGAATTTTGTGGACTTGAAAAAGGGGAACATTATATGAAAGGTGGAATGAGAAGATACATATGTGTAATACTTAAAGACAAGCATTTAATTGTTCAAGATGCTATCACTGCTATGACAGATACCGACCATAATGTTCTTGGTACCTGGTACAGCAAAATAACTGAAGCTATGCATTACATGAGTAGATGGCAGATATTTCAAAGTGAAAAGGAAACTGGCGATATGAGATATTTTCATGCAAGTCGTGTAAACTTATGTGAGTGTTTCAGCTTGCATAATTCACATGCTGGTCGGAAAGGGAAAATACTTCTGGATAAGTTATTTAAAACGGATTCTATTGCCATTGTAGATGAAGTACAGGAAGTTCATAATAATGGTGTTCAATGCTCCAGGGTAACTTTTTATGATAAAAATTACAGTGTTGACGTGAAGATATCTGTAGTCGTCCATGGTATGATGAAATTATCTGAAATATTGACAAATCTAAGTCGGGGACGTCAACCTGAAAGACCCACTTTATGTTCAAGATTTGATGATCTAAATGGTAATCCTAATCTTGTAAGGATACCTCCTGAACGGAAAAACGACCTGCCAGCAAGAAGTTTACGAGATCTTTCCGGTTCTGAAAGAAATGGTTTGAACAACATTTATATTTCACAAGATGAACCTGATATGAGGCTTTCTGGAGATTTAGCTGCCGGTTCTTCTCACGCCATGCCTAATGTTTCACAGCGATCACCACAATCAATGCAGTTTAGGTTTAATCGAGTCCATAACCCATCGTATGAACTTCCTAGCAAAAATTCCAATGATACTGGGCACAGGTCATATTCAAACCCATTTTCTAATGGTTCAGTAAATGCTGGACCTCGTCATCATAACACAAATCGTTCTCTAATGCCACCTCCTGAAGACTCCGGTGATCTTAAAAAAACTATCGATCCAACTTCTCAAATCAGTGTAGATTCGGACTATTTGACTGATGAAAATTTCACAGCTAATATGTTACAATTCAGTGCAACCAATGCTACTAGTGAAATGCCTGGAACTCCGAACAATATTGTCAGAATCGCTTCTAGAGAACATGTGGATACAGATGAGACAGACAGACCCTATGTAAATTTAGCAAATCATGCTGATGCATTGGAAGGTGCTGTTGGAGATAGCATGATGCAAACAATGGCACAATCTATTGATGAAGAACCAACTGATGCCATTCCACCTAAGGTACCTCCGCGCGAAGCAATAAACGATGAAAATATTCAAGACTTGATACGTAATGCCATTAAACAACAAAATCTTCTTCCCACCTGTACCGACTCCAACCAGTATATAAACAGTATGAATATCGAAATGACTATTGCTATTCTCTTAAAAGATATCAATTCAGAGGCAGCCAGGGCAAGCTTGGGATTGCCATATAGCACGTATATGTCGTTGATTTTGGGCTTAGAGATACAAAGCGTATCACAAAGTGATTGGAGAGGACTAGCATCAGAACTGGAATTTTCCTTTCGTGACGTTGGAATAATAGAAAGTGCTGTTCAGACCTATAACTTATCACCCGCTCAGATTGTTTTATTGCATTGGTATCGAACACAGTCACCATATCCTTTCACTTGTTCAGTGCTTAAAAAGATATTGTTAAAGGCAATGCAAAGACTTGATTTAGCTGATTTGTTACCAGAAGAAGATGCTGATGATGAAAGCAGTCTCAGCAGTGAGAAGAACATGGATAAAAATTGATAGATCAGCAAAAAATATTGCTTGAAGATTTAAATTCTCAATAAGCACTGATTTCTGTTATAAAAGTTGATACAATGCAGGCTCACAATCATTCATTAAATCATGAACAATTTTTTTTTGTATATAAAACTGTTGACAGTTATGAATTGGTTATTAAATGATGTAATTCTGTTATTTTCATTTATTATGTCCATATACCTATCTATTTTTATTCTTTAATTTCTACTGATGGCCATTGAAAATAGTTATTGTATATTATACTTACCAAGTACAGAGAAAGTTATTAAATTCACTGACAAAGGTTTTACACATTTATAAAACATCAATACACATTATTTTGTTTTGTTACTACCTACCTATATTGCATTAATTAACTAGTACATTGTTGTTTGTTGTCACTTATGGCTGGCCATCCATCAGAGGGAGAGATATGCATATGCTAATAGTATTGTTGGAGTGAAATTAACTACCTAAATTTGAAGATTACTCACAAGTCACAATATAATCTATCTTCTGTAAAAATTCGAAACTTCTGTTTGTCCAATTGATTTAACTGTCTGTTTATCAATAGTGCTTCCAATTAGGCTCTATTATTTTCAACTAGGGCTTCAGGTTATCACAATTTCAAACCAGGGTTTTGACGGTTTTCGTTTCCTAGTATAACTTAAAAAAATAATGTGAAAGCGTTAGTACCTTCAATTCATGATACATCTCGCTTTGTTACATAATAATATCAATGATGATTACATTTTTGATTATATTTTACTACTCAAATTGTGTTTGAAATGTTCAGAATGAACACATAAATACCCAGCAACTCTGCTGCATCAATTGATTGATATTAGTCCATTTCTGCGTCAAAGCATGTTATTCCTGTTTAAACCAATCAAGTTGCAGAGTCTCAACACCGGCTGAATTTAAAATTTTTTTATTCAGAGCAATTGCTCTCCATTTATAACAATGCACATTGGTAATTGGTGCAGAACAGTGCCTTTATATCTTCAAATTTACTATCCCGAGTGAACCCCGGGATGAACACCCAACTTATCATATGCTGTGTATTGAAAGCAGGTCGCAGTTGCATCACAGCTTTCATGCTTTATTTCACTTACCGTATGTGAATTGTTCATGACACTTTATGCATTGGAATATCGGATGTTTTGTTGCAAGTTTTTTTTTTGTAAACTGAATTATAAACATTCCTTCCACATTTTTTATTTCTGATCAGTCTATTTTTGAAAATATTGCATTTTTGTTGTATATAATGATTTTCCATCATGTTATATTGCCTTTTTCTTTTACTTATTTTTACCATATTGATTTATTCTATCTGGTATTTTATATTTTTTTTTCTGAAAGAACGAATCAAAAATTTATGCTTTATATACTTTCCCTTTACAACATCTTAAATTTTTTTGGTTTTTGTTCGACATGGATCTAGTCTGTGACATGGTACAGATCATACCTTAACTAGAGGTTTTTGTGCAGTAACAATAAATGGTAGAAATTTTAATACATTTTGTCATATTATTTTTTGAGTAAAAAACTATTCTATTCTACCTTGCGCTCAATAGGCATCGGGGATCTTAAATGCAAATGAGTTTGTTGCTCATTCACATACTAGATTGTTGTTATAGTTATATAGCATGTACAAGCTTGACACTTCATACAAATTTTACATGTTTATTAGAAATTAACTTATAAGCTTGAGTGGAAGGTTTTAATTCATTTAATGAAATTGGAAAAATAATATACCAATATAGAGACTCCACTAATAAAGAAAGATTTAGGTTTTGTTTATTTGATTGGTCATGCTCACCATTGATGTTTAAGATATAATTATGCAATTTGTTGAATATTGTGATCTGCATGATTTTTCATATGCTCAATTTAGTTATAGCAACAGCAGGGAAAGATTTTTCTCGTACTAGTGTTACAGAAATCCTCTGTGCAATGCTCTTTTACCCTAGAAACAGTTTCATTTGATTTTTTGTTCTTCTTGTACATTTTAGAGATATACCGGTAAATATGATTTAGAGATATATTTGGAAAAATATGTTATAATACATTTGATAAATTGATATGGAAGTCCCTGACTGCAGGAGTGGTCATGTCGCTGTGGCATACAAAGGTCATGTGATAGTATGGGGAGGATACAATGTAAGTTGACCAATATGTAATTTTTTTTCACCTGAAATTATTTCGAATGAATGAACTATTGGCTATGCAAATGCATTTGTTGTGTGCTACAAGCAGGGATACAAATGTAGAGACTCAAATACTAATCACAAAATCAAGTACAACCACTCAGATATTAACATGTGGCATTCAGTGTTTATTCAGAATGAAGTATTGACTCGGGCTGGGGAGCTGGTTTGAAATCACAATGTCCCCAGCTTCAGCTGCGCAGGGTTCAGGCTCCATAGGCTAGGGGTGTAAGTTTCATAATTTCAGATGAGAGCAATTCTAATCAATTTGAATTGATTCGAAGCAATTTCAGAATAAAGCTACTCGATTCTATTTAAAAACGCTAGTAGGCACCCTGGAACTCAGATATAACTTGACGCCCACTACCATGGAACTGAGACATCAATCTTGACTTTCGGTGAAACATACAAATACTAGGATGACAGGATAAACCATGTGAGAAATACCATTCATGGATCGGTTTAGGTACTACAGCAACCCTTACAGACAGACAGAATGTCTGACATTAATTACAGGTCTCCTAAAGCGGAAGCCAAAAAATAATTATCCAGGTGCTATGAGGGGATAGATAGCATGACAGTATTTTTCTTGCGTTTACGGCTTCCCTCTAGTCATGACACTCCTGGAATTTGTTATATTTTATATGGGTCATAATTTTGCGAGGCACCTTATAAGTACTAATATAATATCATTATAATAAAAACATCATTATTCTCCTCAAAATCATTGTGCCTTCAAGATTATATCACAATGGGTATTGAATTTAACTAGCGTATTGCATTTTGATGAATTTTAGTAAAAACAATAAATAACGGATCGATAAAACATAAATTTACCTATTAGGTGATTGATCATTATTATTGTTATATAACAAACTTTTCTGTAGTTAATAATATAATATGGTATTATTACTAAATAAAATCAGATTCCTAAATATTCGAATCGCAAAATTTTTATTTGGAATTCAATTTCAAAATTAAATATTCGAAACTTACATCCCTAAATATACCTGAGGTATTCTGCATTACAACTGCCATGAAACAGCAGTCAAATGCAATCTATACCGAATGCAAGACTCAAAACTGTTATAAGGAATTCAAATTATAAGCTGAAAATTATAGATTTCATTATTTGTGTGAATTATAATTGAAAAAATTACAAATGTATAACTATACTTGAAAGCTGGAGATACTAAAATTTCTATCTATTCTAATATGATAAGATTGGCTCCAACAAAATTTTAAGGCACCAGCTCCGACTTCCCAGCCCTGATTGATGGTAGACTAATTCAGTTGCTATCTTGATAGAATCGATTGGTATCGTATAACATTCACTGTCATAACCTCTATCTTGTTTTTATCTTACCCAGGCAAAGGTTATTTTGTTTGGAAAATCCATAATATACAGAGTGATGACAGAGATTTATTTCTTCCGCTGAGACGAATACTACTAACCATACATGATCATTTTCCCAACTTGATAATATGCTCTATTGGATCTATGTGACTACTTCTCTAGTAGTATTTATTATTCTATATTCCCCACAGGAAGAACGTTTCATGGATTCAGAAGATGTTTGGTTGTACAATATCAACAAACGTGTTTGGTGAGCTTAAATAAATAGATTGTGTTTTGAAAAACAAATCCTTGATACCCAAGGTATATTTATGTGTCACTTTGAAGCAATCTTTTTTCGCTGTTTTTTTTTTTAAATCCTGTCATAACTTTAGTTGTTGAAGTTTCTAGTTCTATAATTTAATACTAAGATCAACAGCACCCAATAGAAATGAACAGAACTCTATTTCAATACAGGAAAAAGAAATTTACACAAGGAGATAAACCTCCCACTGCTTCTGGAAGCTGTGCCGCTATAATAGAATCGTCTCTCTACATCTTTGCTGGATTTTCAATGTTGGGCAACAGCAATTCTGTGAGTGTCATATATCAAAATTTTGAAGGACAAAATATCTTTCCTATTGCAGAAATCAGTATTAGCTTCATATCTTGGGCAAGTTGTGACAGTATAAAACAGTCAAAATTAGGCTCAACTAAACACTAGTATACACTGTTGTTCAACTAGAACACTATAGTTTAGTTAGTTAACAACTATACATAAGTTTAATATAGGCTTTTCATGTTGTTGGTACACTTGATTAGAGGTGAAAACTTTTGAAAAACTTGTTTTATTAATAATTATTAATGTTATATTCAAAAATCTTCGGACAAAGGTGAATAGGCTACCTAATAAAATTCTTTCATGCACCTGCTTGTTAAGATGCACATACTTGACTTAAAAAAATTCAACTGGATCAAACCAAATATTCACTCCAAGAAGCCATCTCGAAGAAACAAATTGGGATGTTGGGTGACTGGAGACAAGTAAGATTATAATATTGAAATTTAAAGTCTTGCGTCTGAGTTAGAGAGTTAATAAAGTATTTAGTGTTTCTTCTGCTTATTTGGCCTGCTGACATGGATAAGCTGGATCCTGTCACTTCTCCTTATATCAAAATTCTCCCTTACTGAAGAAGTAATAGGTCGTGAGGATATAAGATCGTCTTTTAAGTGGGTACTTCTTTGGGTCAGCCTTGATGTAAATCCTTCATGCCTCCTGTGATTTATTGCTCGGCCGCATATGACTATTTTCAATTACGATAAAATAAAAAATAATTATTATTTCTAATCAAAATGTCCCTGACGATGTCGTTGAGAATGTGTGCAATCATAAGCCTAAATCGATATTTGAATATATTTGATGATTTGGACATCCCTCTGTGCTTCATACTTTTATAATAGATTTACTTCTACAGGATTATATTTTTTGGTGGATATGGAGAATGGTCATGTGATTCAGGGGATTTTATAGGACAAGGGAAATTCATTGCAGATCAATCGGTATGCTAATTTTTAATGCAGAAATATCATGTTGTCTCTGATTTTTAAAATTGTGTCTTCAATTACTTATAGAAAGCTGTTCTTTGTTTTAGCAGTGGCTCCTCCATTTGATGGGATGGAATAATGACCTTCTATCATATGACACTGTGAGAAACGAATGGAAAGGCCTCCAGGTTGATGTAAGTCTCTCAAAATTTATAACAAAAGTGTTTAGAAATATTGAAGTATTGCTAAAATGTGAATTCGGTTTTGAATAACTTATCTATTACATTAGAATATGTCCCATCTTTATTTAAAAATCCAACTTCTGGATCATAAATTATGCTCTGCGAGCATTCAAACTAAAATCATCCTAAGTCCTTTTCTCGAGTACCGTCCATGGAGAAATGTAACACTGTATAATCACATAATGCTATATGTAACTATAAGCAGGTGGTTTACCAAATGCAAATTAGAAATGTATGTATGCCTATATATTTCTTCATAGTATCATTAGTGTGTATCAGTTTTGATAATACGAAATGAATATAGCAGTCAAATAGCTTGGGTCGAAATGGTCTACAGCATTTCACCTTCACTCACTACTAGTTCAACTTCATTTTCGATTTATTTTCAAATTCATGAATGAACATGTAAACCATAAAATGCAAACTATATAGCCTTACAGAAAATATTCTCAAATCCTTCAAATCTAGGATAACACGCCGTGCCCAAGAGCTGCTCATGCTTGTGCTACAGTTGATGAAACAACTGGATATCTTTTTGGAGGACGTCATCAGGTATGTACGGCTATACATTTTTCATAAATAAGTTAATACAACTCTATCTTACAGTTATTTCCATTACTCCTACAGACCGATCGTCTTGATGATCTATATTCATTAACATTGGACTCATTCCAATGGACAGAGATGTAAGTTTGTATTGTCATGATCATGAGCATTATCCAAGTATTATCGGTCTCGTACGATTAGGAGTCAATAATGGCTCAATGAAATCTCTGATCAGAAGTTTTGTAGTTGGTATAATCACAGATGTGGAGACAAGTTCAAATATGAGATGGACTGTTTCTTCTTTCCAACTGAAATATATACTAAACTATGTATTGACGTGAGTTTTAACAAATACCAAGTCTATTTATCATTTTACATGAAGTTTCAGAAATTCTAAGGCCTATTTTGTTGAAATTTCATTCATTCAAATATCCATATAGTTGTAGAATGTACCATGTTGAAAACCTTATATCTTGAAACAAAAGATTCAATATTTTATGATATTGCTTTCGACTAAGTTACTATACAGTAATGAATATATTTATTTTTATGGACAATACCTCACTTATTTACAGAGTTACTTTCAATCATAAACCAACAGGAAGATCGTGGCTTACGTTAACTGCTGTTGACGATGGTCATTTGTTTTTATACGGCGGCTTAACAACAAATGGAAGAGTGTTAGGTAATAAGATAAAAATGAGTCTTCGTTTTTGTTTGCTGATTTATTAAAAAGTGATTATACTATTGTCTTGAGTTTACATTTTATACCTCAAAGTTTCTTCATTGTGACTATTACCATGATTGGGATGTACTTCAATTAAACAATAACTATAATAAAGATTTTATAATGAGTACTGCTCAAATCCAGCCTGTGATCTCATACACCTACATGGCAGTCACCTTTGTCGTGTCTTATATACCGGCTTGACACAACAAATCAAAAAAAAAACATTGTAGGTTATTACTGTATTGAAAATGTAACCCATAGTAAAGATGTGGCGCAGGATTATTTCTTGAAGGTAATTGATTTTTGTCAGACAAGAGCATGTTTTAATTTCAAATTTCTTTTAATTTGGACATGTCCTGAATACAGAGGTCAAAACAAGATATAAATAAGGTCAAAAAGGATGTCATATTGTCATGTATGATTTTCGTGGCTGAAAAAGGCCACCGATGTTGTGAGGTTATTTCCAAATGACTGTAAATTTATGGGCATGTACGTGCAAAACCCTTTGTATTTTACTTCCTAACAGGTGATGGTTGGATCTTCTCTGTGGAGGCCAATGAATGGGATAAACTCAAATATTCTCAATGTGGTGTTAAACGATGGCATACAGCTTGCGAAGGAATTTATCAGGGGCAGATATTAATATTTGGTGGATGTAAATCAAAACTATATGAAGATGAGGAGGTATATTTTCTGATTTTTGAAGCGAATCTTATAGTTAAGGAGCGCATATTCATTGTTATTGTAGCTCGTTCTCAAGAATCTGCTGAAATGGTGTCCGTCATCTTGTTGCACATACTACGGGAGTATCCATAAATGTTAATCGTTCTGTCTTATAATGTAACAAAATCAAACTGAAATGCTTTTTTCTAAATGCAATATTTTGTTTTGGCAGCACCTGAATGAAGTAGTTGCATTCCAGCTATCACCACTGCCTTTAGTCAGGTAAGACACATCTTGCTGTATTTCCTTTTTGTTGATTTGGCTTACGTTTTATGTATCGGAACACATTTTTTACTTATATTAAATAAAGCACAATTTGTTTTATTGTGAATCATCATCAACCTCAGTTTTAGGAAAACATTTGTCTCATTAGAAAATGATGTTAAATACCCCATTGGTAAGTCAACCAGGTATAATCTTGAGTTGTATGTACATACAACCAACCATTTATAATATTCTATCAACTAATTATGCCATACTGAAGTTGAACCAGTGAGTAGTAGTTGGCTAGTGGTCTTATTGTTGAATTTAGCTATGTAATTTTCAAATGGGCTGTAGCCTGGGGTAATTATCAATATTGTTATTTCAACTATTGTCAAATGAACAAATCACAATGTTCCATTGTTTTGTTGGCTTGATAGGGAACTGAAAGAGAGTAGATGGATCACCATAAGAATAATCCACCTTGTTGGTCTTCTGTTTCTCTGATGTAAATAAATTATATTCTGGTTGGAAAGTTTTTTAGTTCAAATAAAACTTAACACTGGATAAGAGTGTATTCATTTTTATACAGGCTTGCTATGAACGTAGTGGCAACATTCAAGGAAAAGACATGCCACTGTTGGTTGGATTTACCCAACGAGTTGAAAGCAGATATCAAGCAACTGACAGATGGTGGATGATTGTATCAACTGCGGCGATACAAACTGAGTGATATTACTATCAGGTAGAACCAGTGTTCCCTCTAAGGTGTGCGCGTGTGCGCGCGCACACAGCTTTCAGAGGCTGCGCACACGCATAGATTTACTGCGCACAGACGTATTTCGATGTAATGCAACAATGTTCTCGGTTGGCAGGTTGAGAAAGTTTGTTGTTGGCCCACCTATTACCCGGTTAAAACGCCAAAATTTCTTCATTGGTTTTTGCACAAATATTAGTCATTCCCCACAAAAGTGTGCACACACCAAAATTTCTGCGCACACATTCGACAAAAACTTAGAGGGAACATTGGGTAGAACCATCTTGAAGTATGGCAACCATGTCTGTGATCCACATATTACTGACAGGTTTTATTCGGTGTACTGCTTGTGCACAAAATATCGATAGTCCCAACATTCTCTCATTCATATACCACTGTCACTGTGTATATCAACATATGTTGTTATTAAGATCTTCATGTGAGGTAGAGGATGAGTGGGAATACAGCAGAAGGCAAACTCTTTAGGACTTATTCATAAACATACTATAGAAAGGCCACAGTTTTGAAAATACCTGTAATTTATTTTACAATTTTAATTTTCAGAAGTCTTTCGCTACAACCATAATTATTTATAGCACTAATATAGATTCTACCAAGCATGAGGTATGGAAAATCTCTTAGAACTAATTTTTTACAACTAAAAATTCTCAGTTTCAATGCTTCCAACAACGAACTCGTGGCTAACGTAGAATCTCTCATGGTATGCCATTGACATCATTGAATAAAGTCAGGTTGATCATTTCCTTGCTCCTGTGTTGCCTGTACCAGTGGTTTATGGCTTACAACCTCTCTAATTTCCATCAATCATCACCATTTATTTGTATTTCCATTTATTTGCCTGGTAGTTTATTTGTGCAACGGTAACTCTCAGTTGGTCATGAGAAACTATTGTTTATAAAATAACGTGATGCTAATTGCAGCCAACTATTAATAAGCACTATTTTGGGTGCCCTAGCTTGCCTCCTGGGTGTTGCACCATCTCCATCTTCGACCACGAACAGAGGTAGCTCTAATCTGGTATGTCGATGTCGGTATATTCGACTCCTTATTGAGTTACAAAATGTCCATACAGAATAGATAGATTTATTGATTTTTCAACCAAAATGAAATAAAAATACAATAAATTGATGCAATGTGTTTTGGTAAAGACTGTAGGGGATGGTCGAGATTTATAGTTATTTGATGATTATTTTTATTAGAGTATTGAACACTCATTTTATTTCGTTTTGAAAAAATAAATTAGCACATATTCGACGAACAAATCATTAGAGAGATCACCTGGTTACAGTTATCTCTTCAGTTCAATAATTCACCGGCTCCTATTTTACATAAACATTTAAAGGAGACTCACGAATCTCGTGTGTCCAAAACTTTACACACTAGATAAAAATTACATGGGGCTTTGCGGATTTGCTCATGTTGCCGTTATTATATAAAAAAAATCGCATTTAGGGTTCAATTGACTATATTATAGTCACTATAATGCCTGACGATGATACAAAACTTCCATGTGTCTTCGGCTTATTTGACTTTAGTTGACAAAATCTACATCGGTTGGACTTGGAAAAGTCTGATGCCAACATGTGAAATTTGTTTAAAAAGTCGATTCGTTGATATACTTTAACAAAAACTGAATAGATATGCGGCACCACTGAAGAATTACACGCACAGAATTGTTAGCCTTTGCTAATCAATTGTCCAGCGTAAGTGTGGAGAAGTATTGGCATCGTTGAGATTACGATGTGCGCTGGCCGTGTGCACGCAAGTTTGTTAAAAGTACTGGAAACGGTTCGAGCATTGTTTACCGATTTGGACCGCTGACATCACGGGATGGTCACCGATAAGTTTACGTCTTTATCCAAAATTTACGGCAAATCTATTTCACAGGATTCATTGTAAAATCGTATCAATTGGCGATCTGTATCATACTTCCCTCGGAACCCTGGGATACGGGCCTGTCATAAACTAACTATAGTGCATATCGTCTTTGTGTATTGTACTAAAACTATAGTTTTATCGGTATATTTTCGCTATTCCGCATATATCGCCAAACTGAGTCACCGACCAGGAATGTCTTGTTCGTGTATCCTGTCTCTGCCATAATGTCCATTTATTATGCTGATGTTACATTTTGAGGGAAATAAACATACATGTCCCAGTGACCAGTGCAGTTTTCAGAAAATAATAGTGTTGGTGAACGGGCGCGTACTTGTACGTTTTTTTATGTTATGCTCGTCCTTCGGGTCCTCTGCATTTTGTTTGTCCGTTTGTTGATGTTTTTTGTCAGAGTGACCAAAATAGATTGGTTTGGTGTGACCTATTTGCGGTGATTTTAGTATAGCCTACATGTAATTCCGGGTTGAGTTTCGCATGTTTTTCCGTGTGGTTCCACGAAATGCTGTCTGCAAAATTTGGCGTAAATACAATCATGAGATTTGGTTTGATGTAAAATCTATATGCACGACAAATACACGTTGGCGCAAATGTTCATGGGTGCAAATGTTCATGAGTGCAAATACATGTGGGTGCAAATGTACGTTGTTGCAAATATACGTGGGTGCAAATGTACGTTGTTGCAAATATACGTAGGTGAAAATGTCCATGGGTGCAATCTATATGCGAGTGCTTAAATATGTGGGTGGAAATGTATGGGTGTGATGTGTGAATGTCTGTTGGTGCAAATGTCGGTGCGTGCAAATTTCCTGGATGAAGTTCACGGGTGCAAATGTGCTGTCACTGTCACTTAATGGAAAATGTGGACACGTGTTTGTGGGCATTAGGATTCAGCTGCAGCCTTGATAACTGACCGCAATGAATGGATATGCATCATTTCGGAGAAACATTTGGTTTTAGTCGATTCAACGACTCGATTGTAGGAGTATTGTGACATCACGACATGACGTTACCATCGCTTTACACGTACATTTGAATGATGGATGGTGAAGGCGCTTGCCTGGCCTGTTTGCTTGCCTTTTAGACGGTAGTGTTCAACATTTTCGGTTAGAGTGTGACTAATGACTGAACCGAACCTGAAGTTATTTACTCAGATATTAAAGTTTGCCAGTGAGATTTTGGTAACATTTTTGCTTTACCAAGCGCCCAACATTAGGACAGACTGGTGATGTGGTAATTCTCAACTGCATACTAAGATTTTTATCTGTCTGCCTATAAACACTTTTTTCGATTTTTATTTTAGAAGGAATTGTTTACCCACGAATGTGTTTTTCGAAAAACTGATGCCAACGGTTGTAATCCAAGATCTGGAAGCCTCGATATATGCTAACTTCACAAAATATGCCAACCATAAAAGTGTATGCCTGACACCTTACCAATAAGCTTAGATTCTGGAATTTGCATATTAATATGGCGACTAGCAGATGACGTTTTTTTCGTCCATGTACATTCGTTCTTAGCAATTGCAACCAGTATATATATTTGCACCCACGTAAATTGTCACCAGTAGCTTGGCACCCATTAACATTAGCACCCACAGGCGTGGGTTTGCAAGTTTGTTTTCATATTTGACACATTTGTCCCCACGTACATTTGTACACACAGACATTGGCCCCAACTAACACTTGCGCCCATTGACATTTGCAGTCGCACTCATAGATATATACACTCACGTGCCGCTGTGATCAATTGGAGGATTGACATAACAGAATAATATGAAACGTGTTTAACTTCAGGTGGTATATTACTCAGACCCCTGCGCCAGTATATTTAACCATTTTTTTCACCCTCGAACCTAAGGTTCAGCTGAAAACTTTTCTCAGAAGATTCTATGAAGTCACAAACAATATTTTCAAAACTTCGATTGGTTGTATTGAAGACTTTGTTGCTAAGCCCCTGCATAGAACTCCACATGTCAGCTAATTTGTTTTGGTTCAAAATGCGCCTCATTCTGCCTGTAGAAAAAAAAGAGAGTTTTTTATTTTTGTCAACCAAAGTACAAATAAATAAATATTAGAATAATAAATCACACAACACATATTTTGGTATAGCCTCAAAAGGCGGTGATACGACCAAAGGTCATCGAAGTCGGCCACCACCCATTCTAGCCAAATAATTATTGAAGAAATAGGAAAATGATCGTCAAAAAAAATAACAAGCAAGCAGTGACAAAGGGACAAATATCATAATGCAAAGCGGCGTCATTATGGGTAATTACCTTATAAGAAAATTTAGATAATTAAATCTCATGTACGAAGCTAGTCTAAAAGATTCAGGAGTTCGATTCCAAATTTTTGCATCAGTGAACATGATTCATTTTTAGGAGAGTCCAGTGTCAGCTACTTGGATAAAATTGCTTTTAATCTTTAAAACAAAATTAGTCCTGATGTTGTCATAGAAAGTTGAAGATGAGGAATTTAAAAAGAGCATTCGAACAGCAAACATAATCCACCCATCCTCATTTGTACGACAATGCAAAATGTGTAATGTGCACGCTAGGAGGCACATATTGCTGTGAGCAGCGTTATCCAAAATGAATTAGCCTACACTAAAAATAAGAATAAACTTTGCGGGAAAGTTGTCAGTTGAACGCTTTGCCATCACACAGAAACAAGGTCAAATTGATGTAAGTAAATAAAACGATGTAGGCTATGAGGCACGAGGTCGCCATAATTTGAAGTTTAATTTAGCGATTGTTTGTAGGCGAAAATTAAAGCGCCCGGATGCTACCGAAATAGGTATAATTGGCCCACTAGTATTTAAAGTTTTTCAACCACTGGCATACGATATCAAACGCATTTTTCAACTCCTAAAATACACCGCAACCGAGATACTTCTTAGATATATATATATAATTCATGATCAATTTGATACAATATCCAGAATCAAATATGTGGTGCATATAGTTTTTCCATCTTACATGAATTAGTTTTTTTTTTAATCATTGATAAACATAATACTGTATTGGTATAGACCGGTAATTGGAAACCAAATTTTTACTGCTAGACTTAAATACTTATTCGAGAAAGGTTTAGACATTCGGGAAGAACATTAAAATTAAACCTATGATTTAAAAAAGAAACATTCAGAATCGAAGATATTTTTTATTTTGCATTTCAATCAAATACACAGGTATAAGATCGTGGCCATCTGATTTTCTTTTTTCGGCAAGTTTACCAAAAGTTTTATTTCTTGAACCGTGGATGGTTTGTGCTGTTTTCCCATTTATTTCAAGTACCCTGTGTCTTGATTTGAATTGTCATCTGGCATAAACGTGGGGAAAATACGGTACTACGATCTCAATTTCAGCGCAGTTGGACGTTTTTGTTTCATCTCGAGATTAAAATTTTGTAATTCTTATCACAATGTGCTGTTACAATTATGGGCAACAACATCGCATAGGCTACGTTTTTTTAACTTGAGCGCGGCGCCCTCTTCGGGTGACAGGCATGATGATTTATCAGCTTTCGTGAAATAGGCACTGTCGCCGTTGTCGCACAGAGTCGTCTGAAATTGTGATTTTCAACCGCTGTGTTCCATGTCGAATTGTTCTTCCTCGATTTTATCTTGTTGCCATATTTGTAGGCCTAATAATAATGAAAAATGAGTGAAGTAGAAATCAAAATTCTGGAGCTCGTTTTGAGGCTGCATATATGGTTTGAAATGAGTCTACCGAACACACGCCGCAAGTCTACAAGTGCTTAAATACCGTACTGCTGTCTGGAATAACCCAAACAAAAATGTGATATGAAAATAAATGTCATATCTGCATAAATAATCCCAAACAAAAATGTGTTGTACCGGTAATAATACAGCCCAAATTTTTAATTTTTTTTTTAATAGAAGTCTCGAACGGAAGGCTATAACCTTTTTGGAATGGGATATACGGTACCGGTACCAACTTAGTTGAAAATTGAGAGGATTTTATTTTAACTAAACGTGTCAAGTATTTCATTCCACGCCAAACATTATGAATTTCACATCACATTTCTGTTTGGCGTTTTTTTAAGGAGTTAGGTACATCGTTTTACTTGGCTAGACTCCATGAAATTATAACATACCGTACCGGTACCGTAATTTATTAAGCAGTTAAGATTTGTCAGTAGTCAATAGTTTGTCTAAGTCTAGTCTAGTACAGTAATTTCAACCGCAGACTGGCGTTCCCTGAAATGCCTTAAGGCAGTAAGGTGTTTTTATTCAAATTGCTGAATTGTTGTTCCCCAATTTTTTTTTGTATTCTAGGCATATTTCATGATAAAAAAGAAACCAAAAGCCAATGAGGCCTGAGGGCATGTTTGATTCTAAGAAAGTATGTTACATATTACTGGAAGTTTCCCCATGTCTGCACTCTGCAGGTATAAGTTTAGAAATAATTAAAAACTGATTAATGGCACATAAAACCAACCAATATCTGAATGTTTGTTAGTCCAGTAGTCTGAGACTCTGAGTGAGGCCATAGCTGTATAGTTTCAATTGATAATTCTCAGCTTTTTGCTGATTTGGTCATCGTCATCATAATAGACAGAGAGGTTGATGCTCGGGGGAACATTCATCAACAGTGCAAACTCTGAAACCCCACAGTTCTTAAAATTTCAAGATGTCCGGACATTTGGTTCAATAAAACAAACACTCTTATTTGTCTCTGAAACGAGGGCATCTGGCATGATGACATTTGCGTCAGATTGCGCCAGGCTCCGGTATAGTTAAATCAATTGCGACGTACGTTTGTAGTTTGCACTTTATTTTAGTTCATTACGCAGTGCCAATTTGCTGCTTTGAGTCGATATGGAGGCTGTCTCGTAATAGAGTTGTTGCCGCTGGAAGGCTATTACTTTTAATTTTTTTTGCAAACATTTTCCTGAGCCCTATGAGAATTGTTTTTAACTTTGAATGAAAATGCCCTTATGCCACCGAGTGACAGAATAAGTTTAATAGTTATCACTCATGACATCGCAATCTGAAAACAACTCATATTAGCGCTATCTGGAAGTGCGACTGCAGTGGGACGGTCCTGACAGCCTGAAGGCGTGTGGTGAACATTGGTGTGTGACGATAATAGGGTAACTTATGTTAGGGTATGTGCCCATCTAAGCAAACTCAATACACCATATTAGAATGGCATTACTATTTCTAGCTACAAACTGCCTGTCTTAGATGATTCTTATTTATATTTCGGCTGAAAAATCTTTTAATTTTGTTTTTTTAGCCCCGGATTTGGATTTGTTAGGCATTTGTTCCACTGTGAGCCATTGAGCCATTGCTATTCTTCTGATGTCAAAACTGATCAAGAATAGTAGTTATTCGAAAAGTTTCCATAAAATCTGAAAATTTGGGCCATTACAAGCAAATTTGTTCAAAAGTGCAGTGAAAGTAATTGTTTTGTATTTTTTATATCAAATAACACTTGAATTTTATTGGACTGCATTCAGTTCACTGGAAAATTTAAAATTTTACCCAGGTTTTTAATCATTTACACAAAGGGGCCTGAAATTTTGATATAATTGACATGTTTTGTGATGACTTGTAACACGAAGTGTTTGATTGTCTGGTACAGTTATTTCGAATAGATGCACTGGACTTATGTTATTAAAGATTAAGTGTTTGCATTGCCGTAGGACATGTCTTTACCTATTTAACGATTTATCGGCGCGGCGGTGTGGCTCAACGGGCTGAGCGTTAGGAATACGCTCGCCACCGCACCTCTAATTACTCTGCGTGGGTTCGCAGGTTGGAATCCCATGCAGGGATGGTTATGTGCGAGAGGATTGCTGGACTCCTCGCCGTCGTTGGGTGGTTCACGTAACTGCTGGTCGGTTACGGCTTCCTCCACCACCAAGTCCATGCTTCCGAAAACAAACAATATAACTAATCCCATACCCGACTTGGAATGGTAACCGGACGAGAGGCCGTGGTTCGTCATATGGATAAGCCGTCTTATCGGCTTTCCTCTCCCGGGATAAATATGTAAATCTTAATCTTATCTTATAACCTGAATTTTAAGAGATGATAGAGGCCGCTATTCCAAGGTGGAAAAATGCCCTGTAGTGTCACACATAATGTGCACATCATCATTGTAGATCTACAGTGTTACATTGAGTAGTTAACTTAAGTGGGTCATAGCGGGGTCATTCAGTTACTGCGCCAGAAAATATTGAGGGCTCATGCTGTACCATCGCGACAATTTACAACACAATGAAACGTTATTGCGTGGTGGACCTGTCGTCCCGTAGTGCCACGCTATATTTTTACTGTGTTTTTAATGAGTCTTTTATGTAACTTTGGTGCAGTTTTGTTTAAACCCCATAACTCAACTGATTGGGCAATGACACAAAACATGTAGCTGGCAATGTAAAAATATATTGCAAATCACAACATGCAAAATTGTTCCATAGAGTCACCGGGAATAACACATTTGGTGTTCTACAAAACACAACAATGGATCGATATTCGTAAGGGAAAAACTCAAAATCCAGATTAAGAACTAACAGTGTGTTTGTCCTTTCCTAATACTTGTAAGAATAAAAGTCTTTTTCTTGATATCACATTGAAATATCATTGCTATTTTTTGCTACTTGTAGCCTGTCTTGGGTAATTCTCTTTTTGTCTTTGGTAAGCTATTTCAGCATTTTGTGGCTCTAGTTCTGTAATTTGGATAGTTCTCTGTAGCTTTGATTTTAAGAGGGTGGGTGAATGGGTACATGGGCACAAACGCTGGTTACAGCACCTGTTATAAACCTTTCTCTAGATTTTGCCCATTTTCCCGATCTTTTCGTCGCCATTTTCTGTGTATTTTATTTTATTCATGTTCTGTTTTGTAGACAAAAGATCGAAATGAAATCGTATTGTGGGTATTTATCCCCATTGGCTTCAGCAGTATAATAAGTGTTATCGCCAAATATTTCCTATTTATTAAACAAAGTCAGCGGCCAGCTAGAGAGCCAGACTAGTAAAGCCTTGTCATACCATTACCAATGCGTGATATTTAGCATTGATCTTGTATTTGTTAAATGATGCACTTGGAGTTTTGTTTGCAGAGTTAAAATAAAATTTTTAGAATGGCCGGACCACTGTAATTTATATGTTTTGTGTACGACCCTTTGGTGAAAATAGTTGAGTAGCCCTGCTATGGGGTGAATCGCCGTAATTGCTTTTATTTAGTAAGTGCAGCCTGCCGTTACGGCTGTAGTTCGGTACCAATTCAACGTTTATTAAGCTGAGATGAAATTGATTTAGCTCATTAATAGCGAGTTTAACTTCCTTTTGAACAAGTTGCTACACCCCATTGCTTTTGTCTATGAAGAAAGAATAGAAGATTATATTGGCAAGTGAAAAATGAAAGCATAATGGAGCTTTTGATAACATCTATAGTAGTGCTTTCCAAACTTCCCATGTAGGTGATATATTTTGGCGACACATTCTGATTTAATGTTATTGTTATTTAAAATGCTTAACTGAAAAATGTAAACTTACAATTACAACATTTCAATATTTGATTGAATGAATGCAAGATGAATTCTGTCATATTTTATCATTTAGCATTTTCAACCTAGCATGTGCAATTGCCTATTACCATTAAATTTTACCCGAAAACTAACAAACTAGTGTAATAATAAATGCTGAATCCGATCTTTCACTTTGGCACCACACTATAGAAAACAGATCACTGGTGAATCAGTATGTGTCAAGCAACATATGTCTATCAAACAAAATAGCATCGTGGTGCTGTTAGCTCAATGGTAACAATTATCATTAAATGAAAGTAAGGTGTGCAAGCATAATAACCATATCTGTGGTCAGTGACCATTTCAGGCTAACATGTCTAACCATTAGATTTTGATACTTAGCAAAGAATGTTTATTGCATCATAAAAATGAATAAGGAAACTGCATTCCAGAAGACATCCCAATTTTTCAAGCACTGATATTAGTGTCACAAGTTCAAAGATGCACCATTGTAGTACAAGTTGGGAATATAGTTTGCTAAGCTCTTATCTATACAATAACTGAAGTGGGTCCATCAGTTTTTCATAATTTTCTTTTGTGTCAGTTGCTGCCAAACCTTGCCTTTGAACATCAACACAGATTAACCACTGACCGCCCCTCAATGCATGTACCGTAATCAAATATGGTTTGCTATTTAGATATTCGCACTTTAATGAAAAATGATATGACACTCATATTTTCTGAGCATGATATTTCAATATTACCTGTAAGAATATATCTAATTCATAGCTGATACTGATAGCCAGATGAAAATATATTGACAGGCAATCCGTGCATGCCCACTTTAGCACTTACTCTTGTTATGATCATAATTTTATCTTGTACTGAAATGCAGTATATTATTTATTAACCACACTGTTGCTTATAATAACCCTCAGAAATACTTGCTTATCTTAGTGATAGAGATTCATACCATTCAATACTGATACTGATATTCATCTGTATTTTATCTTATTTATTTATGAAATTTTATAGCATATTATGGAATGAATCATAATTAAGCAGTTATTTAAAGAAATTTTTGAATTTCTGCACAGTGCACTTCAGAGGAAACAGTTGTACATCTTGAGTTTTTTGTGACTTTCTAACAGAACATAAGTTCTACATTGACTTAACAATTTCTGTGGTGGTGATCTCAGGGAATTTGCGCATTGAATGCTGGTAATTTTCTACAAATTTATCGCCCCTGTGGAACAGATTTGAATAATGGCGAACGTTATGCCACCAACTAATCAGCATATGCCCTCATCAGGGCACAAATATTCTGCTGGTAATGGACCAAGCAGACAACCTTCTGCAAACTCAGTTCAAGGTTCTCGTCAACAGAACAATAAGCCTGTTGCTAACTCTCACCCTCAATCTGGCAAAGTTGGGTAAGCAGGATTTTTTCAACTTTGTTTTTCAGGAAATAGGTTTGATTCTATATCGCTACTTGCTTATTGCCTTGGACAGTAGTCTGTGGTTGATAGTATGTATGCAGTTGCAGTTGACAATCATTGACTAATTCAGTTAATAAATGGATAAATATATATATCCATATTTGTTTTGATAAATATCAGCTTAAAGCGAAGTCACAAAGAATACACTATAAACAAAATTATTATTATGATTGAACAAAGCATACTATTGAATGATTTTATGCCGGAATCGTCTCTAAATATTTAAAATCTAATGTTATGTTACATTAACATTCTCAAAAAAATTCAAAATTTTTCACCCTGTACTTTGAATTCATTCGAAATTAGATCGTGATTTAGCAAAAATAGTGCGCAGGAATCCAAAGAAGGTGTCTGTTTTACAATTTTTTTTTGTTTGTTCAAGAAAAAAACATAGGCTTATTATCTTGTATGATTTCAGTACTTAAAATGGAAGACATTCTTCGGTGTTCTTAAAATCAAATTTATTCTAATATTCAATTCATTTCATATGTATTCCTTTACATCTAATTTTGTAATTGGAATGGGTAAATTTATACATACCTTTGTCAGAAACTGATACCAAAAATATCGAAAAAAATTGATTATTCGACAGGATTAAAAATGGAAATGTATTATTTTGGGATTTCATATTGAAAGACTATAGGCCAAAAACTTGTCATACAATGCACATAACTAGACATGGCTACCTGCAGAATAATGTTGAAATGCTTATGAATGCAAGCTTTGGCCTGATAACATTTGCTAGTTATATTGGTTAACGGATTGTCATTCATTTGTTTCCAAACTTGCTTATTTATTTACATTAGGGAAGGAGAAGATTGGAAATCAAATTTACATTTGCCACCAAAAGACAGAAGAAAGAAAACTACTGTAAGTGCACTAACAATTGATGATTACACATTCGACAAGTATTTTACCTGTTTACATTTAATCGAAAGAAGAATGTTTCTTGAGAGACTTTTACATGATTGCCATTGCGAAGTTCTCATTACTTTACTTTATATGCCAGGACGTTACAGCGACTAAAGGAAATGAATTTGAAGACTTCTGTCTCCAGCGAGAATTATTGATGGGTATTTTTGAAAAAGGCTGGGAGAAACCTTCACCCATTCAGGAAGAAAGCATTCCTATCGCATTATCTGGTGAGATATTAGAATAAATAATCTTAATAGAATTTTTATCTAACTCTGTGGTTTCTACTTTTTTATCTCTTAAGAAATTGCTTTACACTTTGAGTGATAATAAATTTCATGTGAAGGATAAACCTATTTTTCGGCATCTATAACATTGTTGTATGTTGTTAGTTGATATAGTATAAGATACATACCTAAAATATATATTCAAATTAATTAAAACTTGAAATTATAATATTAGAGCCCAGTAACAGAGTGATAAGGAAATGACTAAAATATGACAGGTTATACTGTGTAACAGTATGAAATGTTTTAGAATTGGCTCGTAAAGATCTACCGTATATATTTATATGTACCAGTATATTTTTTTTGTGCTAAATTTACTAACTTCATTTGTCTTATTAGTAATCTGTTCAAATTGGTTCCAATGAATATATCAAGTCAGAATGTCTTTATTTGTGTATTCACTGTCATTCCAGGTCGAGATATTTTAGCAAGAGCTAAAAATGGCACTGGAAAATCTGGTGCCTATCTGATTCCTTTGTTGGAAAAATGTGATATGTCTAAAGATTATGTTCAAGGTAACACATAATTTATATTGCAATGTATATTTGTAAACAGGATATAATCTAATGATAGCCTAAATTAGTTTAAACTATAACATAAAACAGTATTTGTAGTTTCATTTGTTCCATTCGCTCTTGAAAAACTGAAATTTTGGTTGTAGATAATGATGTACTCTTGCTGATTGATAACAAGATAGGTTGTACTCTTGACTGGAATATACATGCAACAATAGTATTATGGTTTCATATTTATTTTGATTTTATTAATTTTATTTTACTATTTACTAGTGTCGAATGGTTTGCTGCTGTATGTGCAGTAATATCTGTAATTGACATTCTTAAAGCTTGTTCATATTTCGATTAAATGCATTGCTCAAAAAGTTGATCTCTATATTTTTGATACTGATAAAACAATAGCAGTATTATGTTCTCATCTATAGGCCATTACAATTCAATATTTAACATACTTGGTTTACTTAGGTATTGGTCATTTTTTGTTTACAAATGACAAAGCTTTCTTTTATGTTATACTAGCCATGGTTTTGGTGCCAACACGTGAACTGGCATTGCAAACATCACAAATTGCCATTGAAATGAGCAGGCACATGGGAAATTTAAATGTGATGGCCACAACTGGAGGAACCAACTTAAGAGATGATATTCTCAGACTTGAAAGCAATGGTAAGATCTTTTGGATAAGTAAAAATTTAGTTATAATATTAGTTCATCTATACTGTATATAAAAAGACTTTCCTTGCAACTCTTTGATCAAGCTGTGCAGAAAATATACCTTTTTCCTTTTGTCCCAAATCTCAAGAAACCAATAGGTACTTAACCTTTTTGATGAATTCCTCCCTTTGCCTAATTTGAGATTTTTCATACCTCTAACCTCCTCACTATTGCATAAAAACTCTATTGACGATTATAATCTTTACGTAACAGAATTTATTTTGAGACACGTGTAGACTAAATTATATTATAATAACCTAACAAGTATATAATTTCCAATTACTCGTTAAATGAGCCTATAATTCAAGTTTAATTAGACAAATGACAACAAAATGCAGAAAAGTTGATGCTAAGTGCAATTGGTTTAATGGTGCAGAAAATATTCAAATGGTCAGTCTTCGCTGCTAAAAATTAAACTTCTGATCTGTGTGAAAAAATGTGATTTATCGGCCATATCGGCCAACTTTCTAAATATATGTGCGGCCCGCCAATGACTTGCATGCAACCTTTATTTTGGCCCGCGAGCGTGACATCTATATCAAATAATATATTCAATATAGTGCAAAGTTGATAGTGAAGATATTGTATATACTTTTCTTCGAACTGCGCTTCAATATTTTTATTTTTGCACACCACTTTCAGTCCATGTTATCATTGCCACTCCTGGAAGAATTTTGGATCTAATGGGTAAAGGAATTGCTAAAGTTGACCACTGCAACATAATGGTATTGGATGAGGTATATGTGATTCCATGTTCTTTTTAACTCATTTGAATAATCACTAGATTTTATCTTACTCTGTTCTTACTCCAGGCAGAAAGTAGCATAGTGGACTTATTTGTTTAAACTATTCGTCAAGCTTTATTCAGATATACTTAAATGCAAGTGGGCATGTGTATTCATGCCATGATTGCCTCATATTTATGAGTGAGTGCTTGTACAATACAAATATAATACTATTTTACTGTGCAGTCATAATATGATGACTTGAGCGGCAGCGCCATGGTTAATAATAGTGATATTAATAGGGCATCTCCAGTGCACACATGTGTCATATGACTGACTAATGAAATCCATATTTAAAAGTTAATGAATCAATTATAAAAATGATGTTGTTTTTCTATCATGTGCTAACTATATGAGTTATAATATGAAGACATTTTATGGTATGCCATGCTCATTTGATTGACATTAGTCACAGTAGGGTATAGTGAAGATACACATGTCTCAGAAATTAATTAGATATCGTATCTTGGTTCATAGGCTGATAAACTACTTTCACAAGATTTCAAACGCATGGTCGATGATATTGTGTCTTTCTTTCCACTTAATCGACAAATCCTGTTATTTTCTGCTACTTTTCCCTGCTCAGTGAAAGAATTTATGGTAAGTTTACTACTCTGGTAGCACAACATCACAAGGACATACGGTAATATATTAACTTTTAATTTTATACTTTTCTGATTTTCTACGAAGAACCTTTGTTGAATACATTTATTTTATAGATACGAATATTCTTGTTATTAAATAGTGATCGAGGAAATTTATGAAATTATTTTCTTTCTGGTTGTTTTTCTCTAATGGTTTAATTGATCTCCATAAGTTATAAACGGATGCTTGAAAATTAGCAATTAACACAAATTTTATCCAAATATTCATAGATATTATAGATAAATTTCTCATGAATAAATCAGCTACAATTCACAATTTAGCAGTCTACAATTTATAAATAAAAACTAATTTCAGATGATATCTTTATAAAAGTATTATTTCATATTAAATACTTTAATATTGCTCTGACAGGGAAGCATATTGAAGAAGCCATATGAGATAAATTTGATGGATGAGCTAACTCTGAAAGGAGTCACTCAATATTACGCTTTTCTTGAAGAAAAAAAACAAGGTCATTGTTTGAACACCTTGTTTTCCAAGGTACATGATTTCATTCGATAATTATCTAATTTCAAATACGGTAAATACCAAAATTTTGCACTTCAATTACAAATTGTTCCATCAGAGTTAGTATGTACATCAAGCAATTTGGATTGAAAATTGAAATTATAGTCATAGAAATGCAATCTCATCACTATATTTGTAATATTTTCCAATTTACGTGGCAATAAGAATTAAATTGTTATTTACGCAGCAATTAGTAGTGGAAACATTATGTATTCTCCTTTAATTCATCTGTTTGGTTACTTGCGCAAAATTGCAAGTTTACCCAAAGTGGCATTTTCATATTTTAGGATGTTCAATAAATTTAGTTTATGAGATTTAAAATTATTTTTTGTCTGAAATATTTCCATTGGTCTATTCGGATTAAGTATACACACTTGTCCCATTCTCAGGATATTGTCTATTTATCGGTCAGCTAGTTTGATATATAAATTTTGCAAATTCATTTCTATCAGCTCATATCAAACATATATTGCAAAGAGATTAAATATGAATTGTTTCAGTAACTTCTAATATTATTTGTTCAGTTGCAAAATTCAATCAGTCAATAATATTTTGCAACTCTACTCATCGTGTGAATTACTGGCAAAGAAAATCACTGAACTTGGATACTCATGCTTCTATATTCATGCCAGGATGAAGCAGGTAGGTTTTTTTTGCTCAGTTAGCTGTTCCTAAATGATTATAATTGAGTCTGATAGTTAACTGACATCTTGAGAGCGGTATTTTCGATTGTCGCCTAACTTTATCTTTTGTGAACAAGCCAAACGAATATACAGTCTCACTTGAACATCTGAAAAATGTAAAAATATATTGCGAAATGACTTCTGGTTATCTGAATTGACAATGAAAGAGTTTCTGATCACCATATATTGACATTGACCATGATTCAACCCTATTCACAAAATTAGCATTTACTCGCAGTAATATAAGCATATCAATAAGTTTGAGAAGTACCTCAAAATGTTTCAAATTTCAATCAGCAACTATTTAATTTTGTCTGTTCAACCAATCATAAGCGTTCGGCTAAATTTCCTAGTACCAGTCAGGATAGATTTGACAATATTTGCTATCCAGTAAATTCGTTGAACATATCGCCGGATGAGAACAGAAGGGGCCTAAGTCACATTTTTGGAAAATTGACTTTTTTCAATATTTTGGGGTTTTGAGCCATGCTCTACAAAGTGGTAGTCTTGAAATCCTGAATTTCTCAATAATAAAAATTTTAGCTGGACTTAGGCCTAAAATATTTAAGAACAGAATGGGCCTAAGTCCCGCTAAAATATTTATTATTGAGAAATTCAGGTTTTCAAGACCACCACCTTGTAGAGCATGGCTCAAAACCCCAAAATATTGAAAAAAGATAGTCCTAAGTTCCAATATGATGGGCATGAACATCAGAAATGAAATGACCGAAACTTAAATCCCTAAAAATTTGTTCAGTGCAACTTAGGCCTAAGTCACCTTGTTTTACCTTGCATCCCATACAAAAAAATTCAGAAGTTGTTGAGAACAGAATGGGCCAAAGTTTCTTATGGGGGTAAAAAAGCAGGAAGGGATTGAAGCTGAAGTGCCAAAAAATATTGATCACAAAGATATTCTCATCCACATTAAAATAACCAGAGCTCAGGACTTTACTAAGTGTGAATATCTAGAAATTCGAAAATAAAAAAATTCCAAATTGTTTTTTGCGTTTTTCTCAAAACTCAAAATTGTGACTTAGGCCTGTTCTGTTCTCATCCGGCGATATTGTTATGTTTACAAATCCTGTTGTACAATTCTTTCTGGCTTCTGCAAATGTATTTTAAATGAATGCTTCACTGCCTCACTATTGAATGGATGTTTGTATATGATGAAACATATTCCAAATTGAAATAATCGAGATGACTTCAATGAACATGTTTTTTATAGGATTATCGCAATCGCGTTTTCCATGACTTTCGACAAGGCCTCTGCAGAAATCTTGTTTGTAGTGATCTTTTCACAAGAGGAATTGACATACAAGCTGTTAATGTTGTGATCAACTTTGATTTTCCAAAAATGTCAGAGACTTATCTACATCGCATTGGACGATCAGGTATTTTCATTAATTTAATGATGTCGGTAAACATAGTTCTCAACTTTAAAACTTGATATTCATTGTATAAGATCAGTGTTTGAAACTGCCTTCTTTATCTGCCACCTTATTTTCTGGATTGTACTATGAATCTCTGATAATTATAAAGAGGCTTTGAATAATGCAAAATAATTTCAGGACGATATGGCCACCTTGGGCTTGCGATCAATCTCATAACTTACCAGGATCGTTTCAGTTTGAAGGCAATTGAGGATGAATTGCATACTGATATAAAACCCATTCCTCCTGTGAGTATTAATATTCCTATTGAATTGCATTTTCTTATTGTATTATCAGTAATTAATCAGTGAAACAACTATTCATTACTAATAATAATATTAATAAATGTTATCTAATACTTTCATATTTTGATACCAGGTCATCGACAAATCACTTTACGTTGCCGAATTCTCTCAGGAAGAAAACGATGACAGCAAAAAATCTTAAATTAAGTATCGTGTATTCCTAAAATACCTGAGAGTAGCGTATTTGTTCAAATATCTGCCAAAATAAGGTCAAAGGAATGCCCCAAATTCATCATTTTTCTCTCACAAGTCCGATGCCGAACCAAGATCATTAAATTGTGATTACAGTAGTATTGACTATGATTGCTGGGAGTACTTATGCCGAAATAATATCAGCTGAAACGATATTCAAAACTTTTGCTATTTTATTATCCACTCCACTCTAAGAAAAGAGTTATTGTAATCTGTTTGAGTTGATTCTGTCGTTTTGCAACTGCATAATAATTTTGTTGCCCCAGTTAAAAAAATATAGCAAAAATTGTCCAGGGCGCCTTTTAGTTTTATCTTAAATTGCCCCCATGCCAAGCTGGTTATTTAAAAAGGAAATATCAACATTGCTATGGAGTTTGGATATTGCTCCTTGACAAAAATGATCAAATTATTCAGTTTCAAGCTATTCTTCTGAGGGGCTGACTTTGACCTTCATTCTACACTTTTTTATTGTATTGAATTTAACTTTTATTGTAAAAATTGTCTTTTGTTTTTTCATTTGAGATAATATCATTGTCTCTCGATTTACAGTACATTAGTCTTATGATTTAAATACTTCTCATTAATTCAATTTTGGTCACAGTCGGATCATAACTAACTGACCCACTTCTCTGATTCTATTAAAAGCAACTGTTTCATACAAGCCACATCAGGTTTCGAGCAATTTCGTATGCAATAAACATTACGAAGCGATATACCCATTTAAATAATGTATTTTATCAACATTCAACAAACCACATGTCTGTTGTTTCTTAAAGTAGCATTTTTGGCATGTTCAATTTGAGCTGCTGCTTTGTAAATGGTTTTACCATCGACTCATTCTGTCAATATTTACTGACTCCTATGTTGCGATGCAAATTTCAACAATTATTCATTTCTGAAGTTAACAATTCAAATTGAAACCATGATGCCCCCAAAATTGCTCCTTTTTTATCAGTTTTCAAACAACATTATTGCATATTGACTTGAATATAATTTCTAGGATTTTGTTTATACCATTGCATGTGAAAGTGTATTTTCATTACCACATGTGTGGCTGGCCACAAAGTCTAACCAGGTATTGTTTGGTGCTTGTTTTTAATGTTTTTTGGACAGAAGCATTACTTGCTGTTATCTGGGTTAATGCTATGTTCCATTTTATGACTTTGTATTCTGCCTAAGCCTGTTTCCGCTATTTGGTTTTGCAATCCACAGTGAACAAGATTGCAGAAAAATTGCCCCTTGCAACATGAATGCCGCGAGACGCCTCAAAAACTACTCAACATTAACTTTTGTCTGAAGCATATGAGAATAGTACTAAATGGTACAATGTTCAGTGAAACCAAGATAAAGCTGATCAATCCGGAAGGAGATTTTTGAAGAATGGCCAGGTTACGGCGAGGTGGTCTGAACTAAACCGGTATCATGTTGGGGTGGCAGATCATAATATATATGAGTTTAAGATATCATACAATCTTTTTCCAACTTGGTTTTGGCGTGATGTGATTTTTGTAAATAGTTCCTTGATAGACCTTGATGCAGAAATAAGGTTGTATTCAAACGATACAATCTTTCAAGTTCATCCTCGTTGGGCAACCTTGCATTTTGCAGTTTAATATTTTCAGTCTGGTTCTAGCATGGTAAACAAATTGAAAAAACAAAACAAATTCATCTTCTCCCATCTTGTTATGGTTAGTAATTGCCAAAACGGTTTTACCACAATAGATATTTGCATAAAACTAGCTCTACGTTTGCTACTTCATTTCCCCGTCTTTTTGAGTGAATCAAGAGGACGAGTAATATTTTAATTTGATGAGTAGTATATTTTTTTATTCCACCTTTTTTCGCTTTGCCATTGCTGCCAAGCGAGCTTGTGTTGTTTAACCATTCCTCTAAACTATGAGATAGTTAAAACTTGACATTCGATCATACCAAACTAAGCAAAATTGACTAGAAAAATCAGACTTTAAGAGCCCTATCTTTTCTCATCTAGATTTGTGTATGACCTGTATGTCAAGTTTTTTCTATCATTGTATTTGCCTATCCTTGCACTGTGCAAGTTAAATTTTTTGCTACTGGCTTATCACTTGGGCATAGTGGTTTGCCATTGAAGCACGCGCTGTCTTGCATTCATACTACGGAAAAATACTAAAATTAATACATGGTTTGAAATTGAAAACCTTGATCGGATTCAAAATTTACATGGCGTGGTGAGATGTATGGATGCAAGTACAGAAGCAATTCAAACTCTGTGGTCGAACTGTTAAAATCTAGTTTGACACGAGATAATGGTTCCCATCATGGCTCTTGAGTAGAGTAAATGCTAAGCCCACTTATGCTGTAATTTGTTGTGCATGGGGGAATCCATAAGAAAATGTTCTTTTGCATGTTTTTCATTCAATTGGGCAGAGGTAAATCAATTACAAGTGGCTTATTCTCTATCCATATTGGCTGATGATCATATTTTTGGATATCTTTCTATGGGCAAGCTCAACAAGTTGCAGGAAGAGAGACTTTGCATTATGTTGTTATAAAGAATGTACTTAAGCATTGGATGCACTTTAACATTGAAAATCTTATTTACTAAGTTTTCCAAATGTTAGATGCGTTTCACTTTCATTTCCCCAAACCTCTAATTTGTTCATCTATTTGGGCTGTAAAATTCGTTTTTAAACTTACACTGACAGTTCTTGATCAAGTTCCATTTTGATTTTTCACTGAAACAATTTTCGACTTATAGAAAGTCAGTGGTCTACATGCCTATGAAATCGTAATTATAATGGCAACATTTAGAAAATTTCCCAAACAATTAATTTCTGGTACTATTCATTTGGTAACACAATATATTTTGGCAGCCCCTGGACGTAAGAATAAGAACCCTGCACTGTAGTTGGTGGTGCACTCTTGATGTAATAGTGGTTTTCTGGTTTGTTTGAAAGAAATAAATGATATTACAGTGCAGTGACAATCACTTTTGTGTCTATTCATATGCTAATTTTGGGATACAGTGATCGAACGTTGAAGGGTCAAATCAAAATGGGCAACGTGTTGGAGTTCCTCATGACCGTGATATATACATGTAGCACATTGTAGCACTGAGCAAAAACGTTACAAATCAGATGGTCCAAGACCTGCCATATAGACCGAGGCGAATTAATACAAATTGACCCCGCACTCCAGGCGCTCAGATGAAATCCATTAAAAATGGATTCAATCATCTCTTGAGGATATACCAGGGGTTCTCAACCCGCGGCCTGCAAAGATCCTTGATGAAGCCAAACATATATCAGGATATCTGCAACATAACGAATATAAACAATATTTCAATACGGTATCATTCTTCTCATCCTTTACAATCCACGATAAGACCTCCGGAGTGTGGATTGTGTTATCACAGAAAACAAATGAATTACGTATTGTTACATAGGAAGGAGTTACTTAGCTAGCTCATCACACCCTCCATCTACCTTCGGAAATGCGCTAAAACATTGTTATTATTGAGTATAATTATATTTTTCATGTTGTAAAGTTCTGTCATAGCTCACGCTAGGGGAGAAGTTGCAACTGCAAACTTACGAATGCTATGCATTAACTATGTTTCGGAATGCATAAAAATGATTACAAGAAGCATATTAAACGTCAGTATCGGACTAATAAATAAATTAAATAGTATAGAATAGATACATGACAAGTGGCCCGTCGCATCTTTTGTGGTTAAAATGCGGTCCTTTTACTTGGGAAGTTGAGTACCCCTTGTGTAGACTTTAAACCAGGTTGGTCATGTGGCCCGCGTCACATTTGCTGATACAGTTTACAATTAGTGATAACCAAAACATAGCATTTCGGTTTCGTCGTCGAAACAATAAAAAATCGTCTGAAACATTGTCGCCACACTAAAGTCGTTGAATTCACTTGTGGTGGGGATAGCTGAGGCGGTCGATGTGGTGCGCGTTCGGAAAATTGCACTGCTGATTACCCTGCGCGTGTTCGCAGATTCGAATCCCGTTGGAGTGAATTGTGTGCGAGAGAATGGCTGGACTACTAGCTTCGTTAGGGTGGTTCACGTAACCACAGGTCGGTTGCGGCTTCCTCCACCATCAAGTCCATGAATCTCAAAATAAAATATAAAACTGGCAAACTGATCCCATACCCACAAGGCTGCTATTGATATGAACCCAAAAATTAGGACAGGGGAACATAACAATAAGATAACAAAGAACAAAATGTATTCATGCCAGTGCGACCCGTCCAGTGGTGGGATTCATTTTTTTGTCAGCCGGTTTCATCACAAAAGTCATATTTTTCACACAGTTTTGTTACAAAAAGTCATTGACAGTAACCAGTAATGCTAACCGGTTCGCTGATTTCATAAAATTCCGTCCTTGTGCTTCTGATTTACAGCGTGATCAGAAATCGCTGCTTTACCTGTGGATTCCAGATTAATGTTACATTCACAAAAGCTGCGATGCGCAAAACATTGGCCCTTCGTTTCGTTTGACGCCGTAGTATTTTTTCATAATCATCACGATAAATGTTTATACGTTTACTCATTTTATGTCTTATGGAGTTCCAGATCTAAACTAAATTTAAAGTTTAATTGACGTATATACATATTCATGTTTTGTCTAAAGCAGGGGCCCGCGACTACTTTCTGGCGCGACCCCATTTTTTCTTCCTCTAATTTCTCGCGACCCAAGTATTTGGTAAGCATATAATTAGTTAACGATTTTAGAACTATTAATGATACTAGAATTTTTTTGCACAAAATAATACGAAACTAAGCACAAATATGATCATTATCTGTCTTATCATGCAATTCCACACAGCTACTGCTAACCTCGCATTGCTGCGAAACAATACAATTGATTACGTGGTAGAATAATAAAAATGCAAATAATTCTGTCATGAATGTTTCCCTGACTTTCGATTCACGGAAAGTTTTATTACGCTATCTGTGCAAAATTGTCGGTACTTATTCCATGAGTGGTTTCACGAGTTATATGTTTTAATTAAACCATCATTTCAATTAATAAAAACATCAAACAACGTTTCATTCAAATCTACCGGTGAAAATTTTAGCCTAGTCTATTACAGCTATTTCTGGACTAATATTTGATTACTGCAACCAGGATGAAACTTGTACGAAGACAAAATGATCATTGAGTTAGTTGATTTAGGCTTATATTTACCAAAGCACAACTAAAAACTAACAAATAGCACGCAAAAAAGAGGTTATATTCACAACCATGAAAATTTGTCTGAGTGACACAAAAGTGTCGGAGCGGCTGCTAAAATTTTATGGTTATGTCAAATTTTACACTTATGCTGATTGGCCAAGGTCACGGCAGTAAATAGGGAAGTCGATGCTTGGGGAATCATTGATAATTATTGCTAGAAATTTGTAATGTTGGGTATATAAATACGTCACACAGACACGATACTTATATTTATGGAAAAATTTTAATTATTTTGCTACCCAGAGTAGAGGGTTTTACGACCCAACTTTGGGTTGCGACCCTGTATTTGCGGACCCTTGGTCTGAAGCACTGATTCTGAACTAACTATAAAGTTGAAATTAACACATGCTGAAATGCTTGGGGAGAAGACAGTCGCTTAGAACGCCAGAAAACGAAATCAGTATTGCTACACGTATCATATCTATCAGATCTTGAATAATTCTACTCATCAACTGCAAAGCTCTTACTCACTACTGTATTTTGATTCAAGTTACACGAAAAGATCTTTACCTCTAGGCTATTGTTTATTTCAATGTGGCAATTAATTTGATGTTATCAAGTCACGAATGCGTGTAGCAATTAACACATGCTGAAATGCTTGGGGAGAAGACAGTCGCTTAGAACGCCAGAAAACGAAATCAGTATTGCTACACGTATCATATCTATCAGATCTTGAATAATTCTACTCATCAACTGCAAAGCTCTTACTCACTACTGTATTTTGATTCAAGTTACACGAAAAGATCCTCTAGGCTATTGTTTATTTCAATGTGGCAATTAATTTGATGTTATCAAGTCACGAATGCGTGTAGCAATCAATGAGGTTTTAATCATTTC